CTGAGGGGGGGGGGGGTTCTCCCCCGGCCGCCAGTGCGGACCCCGCCGGGTCCGTCACAGTCCCACCAATTGGAACTAGTTTTCCTCTGCGAGAAGTGGTGTGCAGGGGATTGAGGATCATTTACTGCATCAGGAGTACCTGGGCTTGGGTGAACAAGTCCCTTACGGAAGAAGTTCTGAGGGCCTTAAATGTGATACAAGCTCCAATCAGTGGGCAAACTATTTCAAAATAATTCTGTGCTATTTTGATGCTGCCTTGTAGTGTGGATGTGCTATTTCAAAATAGTTATTTCAGGAGTTATTATTTTGAAATAAGTTATTTCAAAATAATTTTCTAGACATGCCTTCACTTATATCTGTGGTAGTATTGCAAGTGGAGAACTTGAAGGATTGGACCCTTTGGTCTAGCTGACAGTCATGAAGACTTAAGTCTTTCATTTATGCATAAAATTGACACAGAGAAGCTTTCCCAAACCTTTCAACCAACATACTGCACAGAAAAACCAATCCTAGGGATAAGAAGAAAAATCAGCTGAAGAATAATGAGTATTAACAGCATTTATCAGGAACAAATCTGAATCAGTAAAATACTCTGTATCCATTTATTAGTACTCTATGCACTAGCCTCCAGAACTATTGTACCTATGCATATCAGAGTTCATAAATACCTGAAGAAGAAGACGTGGCTCATAATGTTCAGCAAAAGTCCAGTCTGTCAAATGTCGCTGCTGAGTCTTTTGTATTTCCTCTAAATCTGTCTGTGTGCCACACCTTTGTGGTTTAACCTCAAAGTATATAAAAAAATCCCCCCCCCCAAAAAAAATGTTAGTATTCAGTTGTTTTAAACTGAATTAAATCTTGTTAAGTGAATGAGAAGCATGAGGGAGAACAGAATACAGAAGAGACAGTGTCAAGTGGAGGAACACAGTTAACTGCATAAAGCTGCACATGTGTAAATCTACATGACAATATTTTAATAAGAATAAACACTGACAAAAAGTTTTTGGCTTTGACTTCTTTAAGGTCAACATAATCAAAATATTTCTATTGTTAGGTTATATGCTTCTGAGTGCTGTAAGCAATTACAGACTTACAGTCAGGGCTTGTGAAGTCACTTTAATATGATTTTACATATCTACAGCTATACAGCAGACAGATGTTTGTGAAGATGCCAAACAACAAAATCTGTTAGTGAGTCTACAATATGGCAGTCTCTCAACCTCTTATGCTAAAATTAATCTCTTGCACTCAATAAGTAGCACAGCATTGCCATGGGAAGGCTCCCTGCATCCTCCTTTTCGTATAGTGCAGAATTTCAAGAGTCTGATTTTACAATACCTTAAAGCTATTCAAATGTATCATATTATCCCAAGACATAATACAATTAACACACACATGGAGATTCACCAAGGAATCCCCGGCAAAAGGAATTCACTTAATGTTCCTTCATTTGTGACAACAGAACATAGTTTATTCCATTCACTATATTAATCACTAAGGCTACAATTATGTCACAAGAGATCACAGCCAGCCCCTTCCCCCCACAGCCCTAGCCCTCATGTGGGAACCCTTCACAGCTGCTTAGACATGGTTCCTTGTGGGTCAAGGAGACTCCACAGTATCTCCACCCACACGAGTGATACATGTGGCAGGGACTGCCCCTTCCCCAGAGCTCACTGCTGTCATTGTACCTCCCCTGAGCTGCCCAGTCACTGCGCAGGGGACCCCAGGCTCCCACCCACTGCTGTGGCAGGGAAACCCCAGAGTCCCTGCAGTAGTGAGTGCTGAACTTACCTCCCTACCCAGTTTGTTAGGGATCTTTTCAGCAGAAGTCAGGGACAAATCATGGGCTTCCATTAATTTTTGTTTACTGGCCATGACCTGTCCATGACTTACTAAAAGCATACATGACAAAATCTTAGCCATACTAGTTTCTACATTTCAGAAGTGATTAATTTCTTACTTTGTTTATAAGGGGATCATCCAGACTGTCTCCTCCACCTTTGTCATTATTTTCTATATGAACTGGAAATTGAACACAGAAGAAACATGCTAGAGTTTCAGATATTTTCAGAATTTGTTATTCGGCTTATTCATCTTTGTTAGTCCTATGTAGTGGGCAAACTGTATCTCACCCATCAGAAAGATACATGGATCCCTTCAAGCTTTGCCTTTATCACTATGAAAAGGCCCCTGCTTTGATGATAAAGCACCCAATCACATGCTTGACCATAGAGTTGATCATAAGAAAACAGGGCTTTCCATTGTTTCATCAAGTCCAGAATTCCACCACCACAAGAGACTACTACCCGATTCTTTAGAGAAAGGAGGAACACACATATACTGTATTTTATCAATTGCATAATGCTGTACAGAGGGAGAGAAGAGATAATGTTTTCTCAACCCTATAGTAGCTAGTTTCCATCCACAACTGTAAGGTTAGATTAGCCTTATTTCAGCAAATACACTGTAAGCAAAATTATTATTCTGTTATGGGGATAAAATGTTATTGAAAAATTAATGCCGATACCCGATTGGCAACTCTGTAGATATGACATCGTCTGTTTGTACTCACAATAGGTAGGGCACAGGTAGAAGTGGACGTTTCTCCACCCTGCTTTCCCAGTGTATTCAATTAGAAGCAGGAAGCCTGCTAAAAAACCACTGGGTGCCCTAGACAATCGAGATACAAAAGGAGCAATCAAGGATGATAAAGCCATTGCGGAGAAGCTAAATGATTTCTTTGCATCAGTATTCACAGCTGAGGATGTTGGGGAGATTCCCAAACCTGCACTGTCCTTTGTGGGAGATGAATCTGAGGAACTGTCCTGGATTGAAGTGTCATTAGAGGAGGTTTTGGAACAAATAGAAAAACTTAACGTGAACAAATCACCGGGACCAGATGGCATTCACCCAAGGGTTCTAAAAGAACTCAAATGGGAATTGCAGAACTGTTAACTATGGTTTGTAATCTATCCCTTAAATCGGCTTCCGTACCTACTGACTGGAAGATAGCTAACATGACACCAATATTTAAAAAGGGCTCTAGAGGTGATCCTGGCAATTACAGACCGGTAAGTCTAACGTCGGTACTGGGCAAATTAGTTGAAACAATAGTTAAGAATAAAATTGTTAGGCATGTAGAAGAACATGTAGAAGAATACGTGCGCACCGCATCTTCCAGAGCGTTTTCCCTAGCGGTACCCGTAGTGCCAGCAGGGCGTCCCCTAGAGTGGCGCCGCCATGGCGGGGCATAAGTACCCCTGCCAGCGCTGCCCCATCTCAGTTCCTTCTTGCCGGACACTCCAACAAAGGGGAGGTAGGGTGGGAGTCGAATGGACATGAGGCCTTAGGATCACACTGTCTTTGAAAAAATTGTATATACAGAGGTGTTGCCATTAAGGACTTCGGGTCGTCTAGACTATGGCACTATTTTGGGATACTGGAGGTGAAGGAATTCTGTTCTTGATGCAAAACTGCCAAGATTTTATTGCCTCCTGATAAAGCTATTTGGAGCAAAGGTGTTGTTGGTGAGTAATATGCAATGCTATATCCTTGATCAGCATGCAAAAAGCTTGCACACGTTGTAAATGGCTCAAAGTGCCAGGACATTGATATGAAGGGAAGCTTCTTGTTCTCACAAACCTTGAGCTTTCAATGTCCTCAGACGTGCTCCTCAATCTATTGCATCAGTAACTATGGTTCTGATCAGTGGAGGAAGGGCAAAAAGAGCCCCTTCACAAACACAGGTCTGATTTATCCACCACTCCAGGGATTCTAGAATGGGTGGAGGCCTAGGCACTAGGCTATCTAATAACTGACAGTTTGCGGGTATGCAAACTTCAACCAGGCCTGAAAAGGATGAAGGTGCAATCTCACATATTGGACTACATAAGTGCACGTGGCCTTATGACCTAGTAACTTCAGGCATATATGGTAGTAGCTAAAGAGTGAGAGTGAGGGACAGACACAGGTAACAAACTGCCTGAAATCATTCATTCAGCAGAAATGCCCTCAAACTTGTACCAAGGAGCTCGATTTACTGTGTTTGTACTAAAGTGGACTTCCCTTTGTTTAAAATCATACCCAAACTATGGAAGAGAACTGGAAATGACAAAAGACTTGGTCTCTGGACTTGCCCCTCAGTAATTAGTTGACCAGGAAAGGAAAGACATATTCATCTCTGCCTGAGATATGTTACTATTACAGTTATGCAGTTGGTAAAAATATATGGAGCTGAGATGAGGCCAAAGGTGAGCACTTTGTATTGGTAAATTTTAACCTGTGATTTCAAATCTCAGATAATTTTCTCAAGCCACAGGAAGTGTCACAAAGCAGTACATTTCCTCAAGACTCTTGGCAGAAAATCTGTAGTTATGATTCAAAAAAATGAGAATATTATACATAGATAGATGTCCTTGTGCAGTAGGATAGAAATTCAGTGTATTTATTATGTATCTGAAGATAAAATCCACAGAGGAGCTTGCTTGACTTTATATTTGTGCACAAAAGAGTGATAGTTCTCAATGCAGATTGGTAAATTCTTCATCTGTGGGATCTAGGCATTGCAAATCAATCTGTACCATGATTCCAGATAGTCATGCACTAGCCATTGATATCTAGTGCATGCGAAGCGGACGGGGGCTGCAGACAGGGGAGTTTAAGAGGGAGAGCAAGAGATCCTGCCGCTGAACAGGCTACCAGGTGAGAGTGAGAGTGCTAGCTTTTGGTGTGAGTGAGTTTGCTCAATTGTTTGAATTTTGATTCTGATTTCAGGTGACTTCAGTTTCAGTTGCTGTGGCTGTTAGGTCTGAGTGCCTGACTTTTGTTCCCTTGATTGCCTTTGATCAGCCTTCTCCTGTGTGACTCACAAGCCTACTCACTTAGGTCAGGCCTGAGGCAGAGCGACCTGGGGGCTGCAGACAGGGGAGCTTAAGAGGGAGTTTGACAGATGGAGGCCTATGATAGTCAGGAAGACCCGCAACACCTGTGCCAGCACTGCTTCTGTCTCCTCCACCTGTGCCTGTAGCCAGACAGAGCACCTGACCATGGATGCCTCCACTCAGATCCTGGTGTGGTTTTGCAGGGACTGTGGCTTGCAATTCCCACTTACTGATATCCAGGCTGGGGGAACCATCCAATGTGAAAGGTGCCTGCTGGTGAAATCTCTCAGGAGGAGGTGGCCAGGTTGAGAAGCATCCGAATCCATGAGCAATTCCTGGACTGAGTTCATGAGGAGACAGCTGAGGTAGCTGTCCTAGTACACAGAACTGCTGACACACCACTGGTGGAGGAGGAGATGGATCAGGGTGGACACTGGCAGCTGGTTACTTCTGGCAGCAGGCAGTGCTCCACCCCTATGCTCCAAACCCTTCCACCGTGGTACTAGGAAACCGTTATGCTCTTCTTGATACAGGAGATAAGGAATCACCCCCTACAATAGAGGAGGAAAAGCCTTGTACCCCCAAGGCTGGGAGGTCTGGTGCCATCACTGCGAATAGGAAACGTAGGGTAGTGGTGGTCAGAGACTCTCTTCTGAGGGGGACGGAGACGCCCATCTGTTGTCCTGACATGTCATCTTGGGAGGTATGCTGCCTGCCAGGGGCCGGTATCCAAGATGTTACGGAGGCACTGTCGAGGATTATCTGGCCCTCTGACTACTATCCCATGCTACTCCTCCATGTGGGCACTAATGATACTGCGAAGTGTGACACTGAGTGGATCAAGAGTGACTACAGGGCCCTGGGATTATAGGTGAGGGAGTTTGGAGCACAGGTGGTATTTTCTTTGATCCTTCCTGTCAAAGGTAGGGGTCCAGGCAGAGACAAGTGCATTCTGGAGATGAATGCCTGGCTGTGAAGATGGAGACCTGGGAGATCAGAAATGGGAGGGAATGAGGGCTATAATAGCAGAGAGAAAGGAGGGACAAGACAGAACTGGGAGGTAAGATCAAATCAGTATTCTAGATGCCTATATACAAATGCAAGAAGTATGGGTAATAAGCAGGAAGAACTTGAAGTGCTAATAAATAAATACAACTATGACATTGTTGGCATCACAGAGACTTGGCGGGATAATACACATGATTGGTATAGAAGGGTACAGCTTACTCAGGAAGAACAGGTGGGGAAAAAAGGGAGGTGGTGTTGCCTTATATATTAAAAATGTACACACTTGGACTGAGGTGGAGATGGATGTAGGAGACGGATGTGTTGAGAGTCTCTGGGTTAGGCTAAAAGGGGTAAAAAAACAAGGGTGATGTCATGCTAGGAGTCTACTACAGGCCACATACCCAGGTGGAAGAGGTGGATGAGGCTTTTTTTAAACAGCTAAGAAAATTGTCCAAAGTATAGGATTTGGTGGTGATGGGGGACTTCAACTATGCAGATATATGTTGGAAAACTAACATAGTGGGGCACTTTCTATCCAATAAGTTCTTGGACTGCACTGAAGACAACTTTATATATCAGAAGGTTGAAATATAAATATATTAGAATCAAGAGGAAGACCAAGGACAGGGTAGGCCCACTGCTCAGTGAGGAGGGAGAAACAGTAACAAGAAACTTGGAAATGGCAGAGATGCTTAATGACTTCTTTGTTTCGGTCTTCACTGAGAAGTCTGAAGAAGGAATGCTTAACACAGTGAATGCTAGTGGGAAGGGGGTTGGTTTAAAAGATAAAATAAAAAAAAAAGTTAAAAATCACTTAGAAAAGTTAGATGCCTGCAAGTCAGCAGGGCCTTATGAAATGCCTCCTAGAAGACTCAAGGAGCTGACAGAGGAGGTATCTGAGCCGTTAACTATCATCTCTGGAAAATCATGGAAGACAGGAGAGATTCCAGAAGACTGGAAAAGGGCAAATATAGTGCTCATCTATAAAAAGGGAAATAAAAACAACCCAGGAAACTACAGACCAGTCAGTTTAACTTCTGTGCCAGGAAAGATAATGGAGCAAGTAATTAAGGAAATCATTTGCAAACACTTGGAAGATAAGAAGGTGATAGGTAACAGCCAGCATGGATTTCTAAAGAATAAATCATGTCAAACCAATCTGATAGCTTTCTTTGATAGGATAACGAGTCTTATGGATAAGGGCGAAGCAGTGGATGTGGTATACCTAGACTTTAGTAAGGCATTTGATACAGTCTCGCATGATATTCTTATCAATAAACTAGGCAAATTAATTTAGATGGGGCTACTATAAGATGAGTGGCACCATTCTTTACAAAATATCCTGAGTATGACACATGGAAAAAAAGCCAGCTAGGAGCTGCAGCGAAAAATGAACATTGGATAAAATAGCCATCTGGCATAGTCAAAAAAAGATGGGAGCTTAATCTCCACAGGTTTTGGAGGCTCATACAGCATTATTTGCAAGGAGAAGCCTGTCACTGACAGGGATTAGGAGAAGAGATGCATGCTAAAAATTGGTCACGAACTATTTGACGAGTTTCACAACAAGGACAAAACCTTACAGAAAATTCAGAACATGCCATTATTGGCAAAAACAGTTCATGACAGAGCCGTGAAAATGGCCCATCAAATCAACAAGGAACAAATGCAAAATTTGAGTACAGCTACTTATTTTTCATTTGCTTTGGACAACCCAACCGACATTTGTTAATCACTTGTGTATTCTCGGACAATATATTTGTGGAAATGCTGTGCACGAAGAAATGATTACAATATTACCAATGAAAAATCAAAGAATGGGCGAAGACATCCTTAAGGCTGTGGTGAACTTTGTGAATGAGAAAGAAATACAGTTGGATAAGCTTTCTGTTGGAAAGAACTTCCTGTCTGTGTATACAGACCGTGCACCTAGAATTGTCGGTAAATTCAGAGGATTCCTACACTTTTGTTAGAACAGCTGAACTGCCTACTATTGAACTTTCATTGCATTGTGCATCAGAAGGCACTTTGTGCGCAATCTTTTGGAATAAAACTCAGAAATGTAATGGGAATGGTTGTTCGCATTGTCAATTTGATTCTTGCACAAGGCCTTAATCACCGTCAATTTCAGTCACTGCTTGAGGATGTAGATTCTGAATACCCAGATCTACTAATGCACAGCAATGTTCTCATGGCAAAGTTTTGTCTCATTTTGCACATGCATTAATGAGATTAAGTCATTTTCGGATATGAAAGGTGTCAAACATGCTGAGCTTTCAGACTGTGCCTTGTTGCTCAAGTTTTACTATCTTATCGACATTACTGGTCATTTGAATAAGTTGAACCATAAGCTACAAGGGCAATGGAATACAGTCCTGACTCTGTAGCAGGTAGAGTGTGGCTTTGAATCAAAATTGACTGTCTTCATCAAAGATATCAAGATGGCAAGACTTGCACATTTTGAAAGATTATGAATGTTTTGTGATTCATATCAGAAAGAGAATCCAAATAACAGCCATCCTCTCTTCCTAACACATCTGTTATTTGGTGGAATATTTTTTCCAAGTGAAGTGGCAAGAGCCCCATTATTTGAGTTATTTAAAACTAGATTGGAAGAAGGCACTTGAGAATAATGCTGGACTGGATGCCAGGGAAAGGGAAACAGTCCAGGCTTAGATTCCATTTACCTGAAAAGCAAGATCCTGATTGTCCTTTGCTGCTCTCTTCCTGATTCAATTTCAAAAAATCTTCACTACAAAACTGCACATTTTCTTTTAGGGTAGGTTCTATGCAACAGAAAGCAGTTTCATGAGATGCAGCATCCCCCAGCAAGTGCATTAAATGATCAGATAGATTTTTGCCATCTAATTCTATTATTCTAAACATTCCCAATCAAGATATGCTTACAGCGCAGCTGGGAGTGAGACTCACAGCCCAGACAGACTTATGCTAACAGTGCTAACGCTAGCAGAAGTGCAGCTTGAACAAGCATGCTAAAAATAGCAACGTGGACACTGTTGTGTTAGAACTCAGGATCCCCAGACCAAGCTTCTGCCTGATTTGAAACATTCACATTGCTATTTTTAGTGCACTAGCTCTATCCCTGCTAGTGTGAGTCTCTTTCCTTGGGCTGGGAGAGTTGCTCCCATCGGCATTGTGACACATTCCCACTTCTAAAGTCAGACTATAATAATGACAAAGCTTTCAGACATAGGCTAGCTAAAGAAATGTTATTACCAGACACAGAAAATGAAACAGAACTTATTCAGATACTCTTAGAAAATCATGCTTGGATACTCAGATAACTTTTTGACAAGTTTTTAATGAACCCCCAGATCAAATTGAGAAGTCAGTCTAAGAGAAACTAGTGGGAATTTAAATTGGCATAACTTCCATCTTCTTCCCTCTTCCAATATATATGTTGCACCAACTTAATCTCTCAGGCTACATAGCAGCACTATTTCAGGATACCCGAAATAGCTGTCCCGCATCTTAACAGCAAGCCCATTATTTTAAAATATAATGGGCTCGCTATTCCAATGTCCCTGTAAACCTCATTCCACGAGGAGTAAGGGATGTTTTGGAATAGTGGGTTATTTAAAAATTTGGCGCTGTGTAGGCACAATCAGCTATTTTGAATTTGGCTCAAAATAAGCCACGCAATTCGCGTAGCTTGAACCACGTAGTTTATTTCAAGTTACAGGTGCAGCGTAAACACAACCTCAGAGTTTTGTAGTCTCACATCCACTAATAAAATGCAGGACTATGTAGCACTTTAAAGTGCTACATAGTCCTGCATTTTGCTTCAGCTACACCAGACTAACACGGCTACATTTCTATTACTATCCTCTAATAAATATCTAACATATGCTCTTCTAACACATCATCTCTGAATTTGCTCTACTAAGTCTATCTGGATATGTCTACACTACATCCGTTAGTTCGAACTAACTTTCATAGGCGCTACACTAGCGCTCCGTTAGTTCGAATTAAATTCGAACTAACGGAGCGCTTAGGTCGAACTAGGTAATCCTCATTCCACGAGGATTAAGCCTAGTTCGAACTTACTAGTTCGAGTTAAGGGGTGTGTAGCCCCTTAATTCGAACTAGTGGGAAGCTAGCCCTCCCCAGGTTTCCCTGGTGGCCACTCTGGCCAACGCCAGGGAAACTCGTCTGCCCCCCTCCCGGCCCCGGACCCCTTAAAGGGGCACGGGCTGGCTACGGGGCCCGTGCCAGGTGCAAGCCTGCCAGCATCCAGCCAGCTTTAAAAGCCAGAGGCAGAGTGACCAGGGGGAGTGAAGAGAACAGGAGGCTGAAGAAAAGGGAGTTTAAGAGGAGATGTCACTAACAGGGATGTCCTCAGCATTTGATTTAGTGGATCTCTACTAAACCCACTAAATCGAATGCATGTAGATCAACAGCCATAGCATCAATCTTCCTGCAAGTCTAGACATGACCTCAGTGATCTAATTTACAATACTTTACACTTCACCTCTGACTTTGGCTTTCACTCTCTGGTCACTATTACAGTTGCTAAGACTGAACGGGCATTAAACTTTGAGAGCTTGATGTAGAAAGGTATTTATGCATGTACATTACCTCTACTGGGATGACTTGAATACTAAAGTTAGGCAAATGCTTAAGTACCTTGCTGAATCAGGGCCAGAGTTCATTAATCCAGTTGAACAGTAGAAGTAGAATGATACCAGATTTACAGATATTGATATCCTTGGGTGCCTTTCCTGACTGAGTTCAATATAGATGTTCTTAAAACGCTTACATCAGCAACTAATGCAGACCAAGTTAAATCCTAATCCCACTGACATCAATGGGAAAACTCCCACCGACATCAGTAGAATTAGGATATAAACTCATCTGCATTGGTTGTTGGTATAAACATATTTCAGTGAGATTAAGATTTGGCCCACTGACAGAAATTGTTGAGAGATTATTGTATCGAAAATGTAATCTGTCCATATTCAGTTTCAAGTATTAAATGATCTTCTTTTTGTAGTATTGCTTATAATCTTTTACACACACCTATTACTATTATCAAAGTTTTTAAAATTACTATTTCAGTTTCATGACAAGATAAAAGACAGTATTTTATATACCATATAAATAGCATTTCTGAAACATCTAAGAAAAGAGAAACTTTGAAACAGTTACCAACTCCTGCATTATGCAGTGTTGCATACATATCGTGTAAAACAACTGTTTAATGGTATAATTTCAATATTTTATGTCTTTAAAATATACTTTTATATAAAAATCTATGAAATAATTTTCTGATACCTGCTATGCAACACTCTTTTACATAGATACTGCTTTTAAAGACTTATTTAAATAAACTATTTAATTATGTCATGCAAAATGCCCAGCTTATGTCATTATCTAGTATTTCTACTTGGATATTCATTCACTGAATGGTTCCTAAAACAGGAAAATCATCACATCCCAGGAACAACAAATACTTCTGAATTAATGTAAAAGAAAAAGAGTCTAATGAACAGCATATTTAAATTTCTTAGAACAACGCTGATAAAGGTGCTGTTACCTGAGCCATTGGGAGTTTTCTCATCAAACAGGTTTTCCACAGTTGACAGTCGTCTCAGATGTCTTGCAAACCTGGCTGGATTATCCCAGGGGATATAAGATACTTCATAATCACCTCCAAGCATCAACCCTGAGCCCTCCAATAAGCCAGAGTCATCCAAACCAGTCAGTCTCAGGCTTTCAAAAGTAAACACTTTAAAGGCTCTTTCTACTTCAGCCCAACTCAAGTATTCTGGAAGAGAATTAAAACCACCCACAGACATTGTCTTTATAATTCAGTGAAAGGTAAACAGAGGACTGTCAAGAGTATATTTTCCTTAGTATTGCTATTAAGGCTGCCAACAAGTGAGCTAATGGTGATGGTAATTTCAGTAATGATTAATGGATTAATCTGATGATGGTCAGAGATATTATTAGACCTGTGCCTTATGATGGCAGAAAAGGAATTGAAGGGGCTTGGATGTTTATTACTTACTGTATCTTGACACTGAACATTCAGGCTCACTAAAGGGAGTCTCGGCAACCTTTCTAATTGTTTCACAGTGTGTACCAAATAGGTACACATGTTATAAGAATAAGGAACTGCAGAGACAATTCTTAGAGAAGTAAACTTATCCTGACAACAGAAAATATTAGTATCATAGATATTACATTACTGTTAACATGGGCAGCTCAAAGAGTACACAAAGAGCAAACCATGTTTTTCTCCCAAGTAATCCTACCAGTTCTAGACAAACCTCCTTCTCAATCAAAAAGTTCTTTGTAAAGAAGAGCATTATATATCTCAGCGGTTCTCAATAATTGTTCTATGCACTAGAACCAGAACTATTAATCTGTGTTACTGATATTGTTGTCTCAACTTAATACATAGTTCATGTACTTGGGTGATTTCTGACATGCTGCTAATGTCCAGTTGTCAATCACAGTTTCTAACTAGCAGTGTAACCTTGTCTGCTCATAACCATGGAACTGAGGTTCAGTCTCAGGCCAAACTCCATGGTAGGTTAGGATGCACAAAGCATATGAAAGTTGGTAGATACTGGCTGGTACAGTGATTTTAGTTGGATAAAATGAGACAGTGGCTCCAAAAAAGTGGGTTCTAATGGTCTCATAGGAATGTGTCAATAAAGAATTAAACATTATTAATTTTAAAAATTACCACTGGTGCAATAATGCATGAGTTCATGCACTCTGGCCAAGCGTTTAGAGTTGCTCCAAGGTGGAGGAAGGGGGAATTGAAGAAGTTCCACCAATGGTAGTTTGTCCATCATATCATGTTCAATCTTTTCTGGATTTAAGACCCCTTGGACCTGAAGCAAAGAGCAATAGGAACAAAAGTAAAATAAACTTTCACAACACTGATTTTTCATTTAAATGATTAAGGTTAACAACTCTGCCCTCTAAAGCTTCCACACATACACTATGTTTTACTTTATTTTGAAGTCAATAGGATTTAAGAATATGCTTAAAATTGAGCATAAGCTTAAAGGCTGTGTCTAGACTGCATCCCTTTTCCGTAAAAGGGATGCAAATTAGACACATCGCAATTGCAAATGAAGCGGGGATTTAAATCCCTCCCGCTTCATTTGCATAAACATGGCTGCCGTTTTTTTCCGGCTTGGAGCTTTGCCGGAAAAAAGCGCCAGTCTAGACGCGGATCTTTCGGAAAATAAAGCCTTTTCCGAAAGATCCCTTATTCCTCTTAAAATAAGGAATAAGGGATCTTTCAGAAAAGGCTTTATTTTCCGAAAGATCCCCATCTAGACTGGCGCTTTTTTCCGGCAAAGCTCCAAGCCGGAAAAAAGCGGCAGCCATGTTTATGCAAATGAAGCGAGGGGGATTTAAATCCCCGCTTCATTTGCAATTGCGATGTGTCTAATTTGCATCCTTTTAACGGAAAAGGGATGCAGTCTAGACACAGCCAAAGTGTTTTACTGAATCAGTATCTTTATGCAGAAGATGAAATCGGTTATCCCAAAAGGAAAATAGAATAATCGAAAAAGTCACAATAAATGGATATTTACTAATGATCAAAATTTTTTTGCCACTTAGCCAGAACCTGAAATTTTTCTTGGAATATAGAAAATATTTAGTTTGTCAGACCATAAAGGGTGCTTTTGTATTAGCCTCTCCTTTCCACATATTCTTAGTTGGTCTATACTACTCTTTACAGTCATTATAATCAAGAAATCATACAACTCATTGATGGTCTTTGAAAGCAGAAATACAATGGATTTAAAGAACTGTACTGGTTTGATGTTTCTCTGCTTCATTCAGTTTTACTTTATCTTATTTTTACCATTACAGTTTCTGTCTTCTGTGTTACTTTTAATACATTTTTCCTGTATCCTGTCTCCCAAACTCATTCCTTCCTCTTTCCATCTCTTCTACCTACATTTTTGGAGGTTTAGTCAACTCCTACATTTACTGCTTCAACCCCTTCCTCTTTAGTCTCCCTAAATCTAGAAGGCTGCCCAAAAATACATCCAACATGCTTCTGCTAAAAGCATCTTCCTCATCCCTCACTCATTCGTATCATCCTTCTGCTTGAAGCCCTTTGTTGCTTTACAAGTTTCATTTCCATCAAACTTTTTACTCTAGCTTACTCTACCTTCTGCCTACATCATGTCTAAATAAATCTTACTTCCCTGACTAGATGATGCCCATTTAGGTCACCTTAATGCATTCTGGTGTTCTTCTCCCATGAACAGCTCAGCTTTTTCATGTGCTGCCCCTCTTCTGTGTCAAATATACTCTAATCTATTCCATTCTAGCTGCCACACCTCACTCTTCATTTCAGATCTCTAGGTGTATCTAGACTAGATCCTTCTGTCGGCAGAGGGGTGTAAATGAAGCACTTCGAAAGTGCAAATTAAGCCGGGATTTAAATATCCCATGCTTCATTTGCATAATCACATAATGGCACTCTTTCGAAAAAGCGCTCTTTCGAAATTGAAACCGCAGTCTAGATGCGGTTCTTTAAGAAAATGGGGCGCTTTTTCGAAAGATCCTGTAAATGAGGTTTACAGGATCTTTCAAAAAGGCACCCCATTTTCGAAAGAACCGCGTCTAGACTGCGGTTTCAATTTCAAAAGAGTGCTTTTTCGAAAGAGCACCATTACGTGATTATGCAAATGAAGCACCGGCTTAATTTGCACTTTCGAAGTGCTTCATTTACATCCCTCTGCCTAGAGAGGGATCCAGTCTAGACATAGCCTCTGTGTCTACAGAAACTCTAGTTTCTTTAGAATAACCCCCTCGCTCAGTGGTGGTCCAAAGCAAAGCCAAAAGAGTTCTACAATGTACAGAGTGTCCCCACTTTAAGTCACCCCGGTATACATCCGTTCCACACTAAAGTTGTTGACGACTGTAGGAACTGATGCATTATAAGTTCTTCCATTCCCTGCTATAAATCGTGCAAAACACTCCCCCCTCCCAATTTACTTAAATGGAAGTCAGCCTCAGGAAAAAAATTCCCCACTCTAAGTTGTTTTGCTATAAGTCCAAGTTTTTTGGAATGTATCTTGGACTTATAGCGAGGACGGTCTGTATCCCAAACCATCATGTATATTGAGATGCAGTCAAAAAAGCTAAGTGTTCACATAAGCAGGTTGGCCAGGCCACTCAGATTAATGTGGTACATTGCATGTTGGGATCTATAATCTCCATGGGTGTCTGCAATCTGCTCCATTTTAAGCAAAATAAGCACAGCCTTTGGATTTCAGGCAAATCATTAAATGTGGCCATCAGTCGGGAAAAGTATGGGTTCTCCTACTCTACACCTAAAAAGAATTTTAAGTTAATGCCCTCATTGTAGACTTTAAGACTGTTGATATAAGACAAAGTATTATACCTTTAGCAGGTGTAGCTTCTGAGACAAAGTATCATGGTAGTTTAATAGAAGAGGCCATTCAGGGACCACAGTATTTTCTTCATTGTCATTAAGAAAAAAGGAGTTGTAGAGATTCTGTTAAAGAAAAAAGCACATGCATTAAAAATTAAAACAGAGATTTATTTAGCTATCAAGGAAGTCTGAAGGTAAATACAAACCTTTTTTTCACTCTCAGAGAGGGCAAGAGAGGGAAGGATAGAGACTATATGGTTAGCAAGGCTATGATCCAGCCCATCTGCTCGTGGTTCTGGGACCACCAGACTTGGTGGTGTAAGACTTTCTTCACCTGCAATGACCTACCAAGCAGAAACATAGTAAGTGTCACTATAGCATTGGTTTGGAGTTAGATTTTGATGCAGCCTTAACTTAGATTCCATTGAATTTCTGTATTCACATGAACATAGTTTTCTCAAAAAGACTTGTTTCCCACTGGAATTCCCAAACATTTCTGAATGAAAAACACGTTAAGAGTTTTAATGCACATGGATAATTTTAAAAATGGCTGCAAATCACAAGTTGAACCTTTCCTAATTGTCTTCACTGTGGACAATTTTCTAGGCTAATATGCAAATGAATTAATGATTAGAAATCAGGAATATTAAGTATGCTTAAGCAAAAGTTTAATTTCCTAAGTAGTACGGGTTTTTTATTCTGTAGACTGGGGGCAGAACTCAGATCTCTGTCACCATCTAAGGTAGAAACTCTTCCAGGTGACAAGTGTTTCCATAGCCCACTTGATGGGAAAGCATTCTCTTTCAACCACTGCATATTTCTGCTCTCTCGGTAGGCATTTTCTATTAAAGTAGAGGTCTTGGTGCTCATCATCTCCAACCATCTGTAACAAGACAGCACCCAAAGCTACTTTGGATGCATCTGTCTAAAGGACGAATTCTTTGTTACAGTCAGGAGCTATGAGTACAGGATTACTGCAGAGAGCTGTACATAGATCCAAGAATGCTTTCTCTGCTGCATCAGTCCACTTCACTATGTCAGGAGCCCAGGCCTTTATCAGGTCCATCAGGGGACTTTTTCTGATAGCAAAATGCAAGATGAATTGTCTGTAATACCCCACCACATTCAGGAATTCTTGGACTTGTTTTTTTCCCCATTTGGTTGGGACCAATTCTGGATGGTCTCCAGCTTATTCACTTGGGGTTGTACTACACCTCTTCCTATGGCATAGCTGAGGTATTTAGCCCCAGGAAGTCTTATAGTGCACTTGACTGGGTTAATCATAAGAGTGGCCTGTCTTAAGATATCCATTCTCTCTAGATAAGTCTCCCAACTGGAGGTCTGAATTATAACATTGTTTAGGTATGCCACTGTGTAACTGGTATGGGGGCATCAGAGTTCGTCCATCAGATGTTGGAAGGTGGCAGGTGCCACATGTAGTCCTAAAGGGAGAACAGTATATTGGAATAGGCCCTCAGGTGTAGAAAATGCAGTTTTTTCTTTTGCTTCCTTGGCCAAGCGGATCTGCTAATACCCCTTTGGTAAATCTAGGTGGTCAACTAATTCACCGATGTGGGGTATAGGGTATGCACCGAACTTGGATATTTCATTCAACTGCCAAAATTCATTGCAGAACTGAGTGGTACCATTGGGCTTTGGCACCAAAACAATTGGACTAAATCATTCGCTGTGGGATTCCTCAATGACTCCCAATTCCATCATCCTCTTTACTTCAGCCTTAATTTCTTCCCCTTTTGCAGCTGGGATCGGGGTCTAACCTTGACTCCAGGGTTTGTGGTAATACTGTGATAAACCTCAGTCATTTGGCTTGGCTTAGTTGAAAACATGTCCTAGTATTGGCTGATCATCTTGATTACTTCCTTCTTTTGGTGTGGTATTAGGTTAGGGGATATTTTGATTTGCTCATGGGAAGTATTTTCCTGGTTTGGGACCTCTTGTGTGACTACACATGTCTCTTTGAACAGCCAAGGTTTTAAGAGATTCACATGGTATACCTTTTCCTCTTTCTGGCATCCTGGTTGTCTCATCTTATAATTTACTTCCCCCACAGCTTCAACCACCTCATTGGGTGAAAAGCTTGCTCTCCACTATGGGCACCAGCACCAGATCCCCTGGCTGGAACCATCAAACTTTTGCCTGATGGTTGTAATGAGTTTGCTGGGCTTCCTGTGCCTCTTCCAGATGTTCTCGTACAATTGGGGTAACTCGGGCTATCTGTTCCCTCATCTGTAAGACATGTTTGATTATATTCTTTCCTACATTGGGTTACTCCTCCCAGATCTCTCTAGCAATATCCAGTATGCCACAGGGGTGGCATCCATATAATAGTTTGAAAGGTCAGAATCCAGTAGAGGCCTGAGGTACTTTCCAGATGGTGAACATAAGGTAAGGTAGCAGGGTGTCCCGGTCCTTCCCCATTTCAACTTACTATTTTTCCATATCACAGATTTGAGGGATTGAATGAACTTTTTGAGGAGTCCATCTGTCTGGGGATGATAGAGGTCCTCAGGGTATGGATATGGGAGTAGGGTGTAGAGGTCCTTCATCAATTTTGACATGAGCAGGGTTCCTTGGTCCATCAATATTTCCTTCAGCAGTCCAATAATGCTCCAATAATCTTCAATAATGCTTTTGCTATTATTTTTGAGGATGTGTTCCATAGGGGTATGTCTTTGGGATACCACGTCACATAGTCTATGATGTCAAGGGTATACTGGTGACCCCAGGTCATCTTCTTTAGAGGTCCTACTAGGTTCATGGCTATATGCTCAAATGGGACTTCTGTGATGGGGAGGAGTACTAACAGTGCCCTCCTGTGGGGCTGAGGACTGTGTAGTTGACACCTAAGACATGATGCACAATACCAGCATACATTCTTATGCACTCCTGGCCAAAAGAATCTCTGTAGGACCCGTGCAATATTTTTTTCTAATCCTAGATGCCCCCCAAACAGATGACTGTGGGTGAGGCTCAATACAGGTTTCTGATGCTTCTGAGGTAGTAGGAGCTGCTGTACCTCCTCCCCCTGTATTGAGGTAGCCTGGTATAGGAGAAAAAAGTTAAAAAACAAAGAATGGTCCTACAGCACTTTAGAGTAACAAACACAGATAGTATCATGAGCATTCGTGGGCACAACCCACTTCTTCAGATGAAAGTATAGGGGATCCTTCTTTATGATTAAGTAAGATCTAGATCCCTGTTTTTTCCCTTCCATCTGGGCTCATTTATTTCTGTCACCTCTTTCCTAATGTTGTCATATCTAGGGCCTTCAGCTTGATCTTGTCCAAAATTTTCCTTTCCTGGGCTAATCTGGCCAAATTCTGGGGAACCAGTCTCCGCTGCCTCTGTCTGTTCTGAGGTATTAGGATGCAGGTCAAGCTCTGACACTTCCTTCTCCAGGGAAGTCTCCTCTCTTGCCACCTGGGCTGGTCTGCCTATGAGAGCAGCCTTCTGGTTTTGGGCCAAAATTTGTGTTCCCAACACCTTAGCAGCCCTCTTTTTTTTTTTATCCTTTTAGAGGTGGAGAACAAATTAGGGGATATTTAAACACATATTGGAAGTTGACAATCTATTGTAGCCACTTTCCTTACTTCAGGTTCTCCCTTTTTTTCCAATTCCCTTGCTGGGAGTAAAGTTTCAGACTCTGGGTGTGTCTAGACTACATGCCTCCTTCGACGGAGGCATGTAGATTAGCCAGATCGGAAGGGGGAAATGAAGCCGCGATTAAAATAATCGCGGCTTCATTTAAATTTAAATGGCTGCCCCGATCTGCCGATCAGCTGTTTGTCGGCAGATCGGGGGAGTCTGGACGCGATGCCCCGACAAAGAAGCCTTTCTTCATCGACACAGGTAAGCCTGGTTTCACGAGGCTTACCTGTGTCGATGAAGAAAGGCTTCTTTGTCGGGGCATCGCGTCCAGACTCCCCCGATCTGCCGACAAACAGCTGATCGGCAGATCGGGGCAGCCATTTAAATTTAAATGAAGCCGCGATTATTTTAATCGCGGCTTCATTTCCCTCTTCCGATCTGGCTAATCTACATGCCTCCGTCGAAGGAGGCATGTAGTCTAGACACACCCTCTGGGAAATTCCTTGCTATGAGCACCGGGTAGGGGAGTTGACGGACTATACCTGCCATCATCCCTGTAATGTTCCCCTGGATTTCAATCTGTACTGGCACGGTGGGGTAATAACAAACTACCCCATGGACACACGTAACCCCGTACGTTTTGCCTGGAGCAACTGACTACGCATCACCAGCTTCCCTGAGATGAGCATGAAGGCACTACCTGAGTCTATCAGTGCTGTGTTTTCTACTCCATTTAAACATACTGGCCTACTGTATTGGTGTGGGGTTAGTGTGACCCCCATAGGATGTATCAGAGAGCATGCATTCTCTCACTATCCTATATTGCATTGCATTGGCTCCACTATATTGGGACCCTGTGTGGCTATGTGCCCTCATTCTCCACAAACGTAGCATCTGTAGGAAACTCTAGGCATTCCCTGGTCTCTCAGCTTGAGGTGTTTGACCTCCTGAACTCCTTCACTCTCATTATTTTGAGTTCCTAGCCTCCGGTAGGTCTTCTGCTCCCCTCTTCTCCCACCAGGGCTTCCCTGAGGGTTCAGGTACTGGGACTCGGAAGACTAGAACAGGGATCTCCTCAGTCTGCGGTTAATATACCACCCCTCCACTACTTTTTTGTAACCTTTTGACCTGACCTGGTCACATACATTACAGAAAAATTAAGGGCATGAAGTAGGAATTATTGGGTGAAATTCTATGGTCAGCATTACATGCAGGAGGTGAAATGAAATGTCCATAAACATACTTTCAGGCCTTAAAAATCTATGACTATTTGTGCCTCAAGGAGAAGAGGGAGACCAACCAACAACGAAGTGCGTCAGTCTGGAAACCTAGTCCAAAAATTTAGTACATGTGCAGCTAAATTAAAACCTAATTGAACCAGAAATTTAATGTTTGTTTTATCCACTAGATCTAAAGTCCTGCAGCAAAGAGGGCAGTAAATCTTCTTTGTTGCTGTGAAAACAGGACAAAATTTGCAATCTCTTCACTGGATGGACTATCAATAAGTCAGTGATGGGCAGGTCTGAGTGCTGTCCTCAAAGCTGCAGACTGAACATCTACTGTAGACTGTCTGGAAACATTCCCTAAAAGCTAAAGTGCTACAAACAATTTCTGAGTCCCAAGTGCAATGTGAAATGATTCCTTTGCTGGGCTCACAGTAGTAATTTCTTGTTGGCACTGGCCATTATTGGAAGACAGGTACTGGACTAGATGAACCTTTGGTCTGACTCAGTATGGCCATTCTTATGGAGGATCTCATGTCCCACACTGAGAAAAGTTGATATAGTCTTAGTGATCATTTTCATTTTGAAGTTGTATTATATGCTTGTATTATATGCAACCTCTCGGAGTCACAGTTCCTTTCTACTGCTTCTCCTTGGGCAGTGCAACTTATTTTGGGATGAACCTGATTGTTTGTCTTTCACTGATCAATTCACTATCACAGTGTTTAGCATGAATAATGGCTGTGAATTAAATATGAAAATACACTCACCTGTTCCAACATGCAGTTCATTATCAAAGGAACAGAAATGAATTCTTCAGGAATCTGACTTAGCAAGTCATTGTAATATCTCATGTCCACAAAAGGAGGCAGAAAAGTAGCTTCTTCCTCTATTGTAGAAAGGAGAAATGACACATTGAGACCATCCAGCTGGATCTGTTAATTTTCCTTGGACTTTGGTAGAAATGGTTAGTAAGACTTTCCTGATTCTCTGGAATCTCTCCTATTATGTTCTTAAGTTAGGCCTGTGGCAGTGTTGTAAGAAAATATAAGGAAAGAACGTAATTCTAAAAGCCTTAACAGCTTAGTCTGCACAATGGTGAACTTCCATTCTTGATATATCTCCTTTCTATATCTTATTTATTGTTAGTAAATACAAGTAGTATAGTTTTAAAAGAAGGATTATTATATGCCAAATGTAGGATATTAAGTTATGGTTCCACAGTAACATATCACATATTAATGGATACAAAATGCAGCCATGTGTCTCTAAGCTTATTTTAAAAATGCAAAGTAAACATAAATCAGTAGTAATTTATACAAACTCACTCAAGAAGCAGTATTGAAATTAATTTACAAGTACATACAGTGAAAGAAAATTCTACAAGCTGCCTTCTGTATCCATGAAGGGGAGTCACATCTACAAAGTGGCGATAATACCACCTCCTCGCTTCACACAGTATTTTGAAAACAAATTAATGTTTGTGAAACAAAAACTACAGCACCATAAAAAAATCCCATGAGAAAATTAAAGATTTTGTTTTCAGAGGAATAGTGATAGAAATTTAGCCGTGTTAGTCTGGGGTAGTTGAAGCAAAATGCAGGACAAATTTTCATATTTGTTCATTTTTTTAATTGTATCCTTTGGTATATATGGTTGTGACTACTTTCTTCCACTATTTGATCTGAGGAAGTGGGTCTGGCCCACGAAAGCTCATCATCTAATAAACCATCTTGTTAGTCTTTAAAGTGCTACATTGTCCTGTATTCAGAGGAGGGGTTTGAATACTGTGCAGTAAATAAAGCTTGGGATCACAGACTGGGAATAACATAAAATATTCAGCAGCTGCTTATTTAGCGATACCCTCCATTTTGCACTAAATAATCCAGGGATCCTGTAGAAAAAATAGTTTGAGACCATGTAAATAAGATTGTACCATAATGTATAATCAATAGCAAAAAAACATATAAATACAAAGCTATGGCTTGATGGTATGTAACTCCTGTGCAGAATATTGAGTTGAGCAAAACAAACTTCTGACAACAAGGAAATGCTCAGTTTGGTTGCCTGTGCAATTTTAATTGTGTTTCCTTTCAGCAGTGCCCCAATATACCCCATTAACACATATCTTCTAGTCTCTGCCAATCTCTCCATTGCTGAAATGTACATTCCTTTTCACCCACAGGATTCTATTTAACACCATTAAAAAGCAAAAAGGGGGGAAACAGTTCCCTACCCCATCATCTCCTTGTTTCCCTCCTGTAGGAAGCAGTGAATGGGAATTATTTACATGTGCTCACAAGCCAGTCAGTGTGTTGGGTGAATCTATGCTAAATGGCAGAGCAGTAGTTGAGCCTGCTTGGTAAAGGTATATTTGTTGATATGAAGACAAGTGTGGATTACTTTGAGGTGTGTGCAACACAACTGTGATAATGATATGAAGAAATCTATGTTTTGCATCTTCTGACAGATGCAAGCAAAGGGAAGAGCTGCATGTGTATCTTCAGACCTAAATACACATCATTTCAATGCAGAATTGTGCATGTCATATAATTAGCAGAGTACAGCAGTTTTTCTACAAAGGACATTGAAGTAGTGATCTGGGATATCAGAGCACAGTTAACTATCTGGAGCCAGCATCCCCAGCAAGTGCAAAAATTAGTAGGAAAATGTTGGCAGTCAAACTGGAATGAACAAACATCTCAAACAGGTTATTAAGGGAAGGAAGCAGTCCACAAGGAATCGAGGAGGGGAAGAATCACCAAAGAAAACTATCTCTTGGAAGTGAAAAAGTGTAGGGATAAAGTGAGAACTGCCAAAAGGAAAACAGAACTGGACCCTGCAAAGGAAATTAAAACCAATAATAAAAGGAAAAGAAACCAAGGAATAAATAGGCAGGAACATTAAGCACTGAAGATGGGGTGGAGTTTAAAGATAATCTAGATATAGCCCCACACCTAAATGAATACTTGGCCTCAGTTTTTAGTAAGGATAATGAGCAGCTGGGGAGCAATGGTAATGTGGCTAATGGAAACAAGGATATGGAAATTACCTCATCTGAGGGGGAAGCCAAACTCAAACAGCATAATTGGACCAAATAGGGGGACTTGGATAATCTCCATTCAAGAATATTAAAGGACCTGGCACATGAAATTGCAATCCCAACAGCAAGTATTTTTAATAAATCCATAAACTCAGGGGGTACCGATGACTGGAGAATTGCAAATATAGTACCTATTTTAAGAAAGAGGAAAAAAGGCATCAGGGAAACTACATGTCCATTAGTTTGACCAACTGATTGAAAGGTCTTAGACATTAAAACAAAGAGGTAAATAGTATTTGGGATAAAATGCAACATGGTTTTACAAAAGATAGATCATGTTAGACCAATTTGATCTCTCTCTTTGAGAAGACAAATGATTTTTTCAACATAGGAAATGCAATAGCTCTAATCCACCTGGATTTCACTATGACAGCTACACGTGGGAAATTATTAAATTTGAGAAGATGGGGATTAATGTGAGAATCAAAAAGTGAGTAAAAAACTGGTTAAAGGAGAAATACAAGGAGTTATGCTTAAAAATGAAGTGTTGGGCTGGAGGGAAATTATTAGTCGAGTTCCTCAAGGATCAATCTTGGGACCAATCTTAATATTTTCATTAATGACCATGGCACTAAAAGTGAGAGTTTGCTAATAAAATATGTGGATGACACAAAGTTGGGAGGTACTGCCAACATTTAGGAGGCCTGGGAATATCATACAAAGAAAACTGGACAGCTTTGAAAGCTTGAGTAATAGAAATGGGATGAAATTTAATAGTGCAAAGTGCAAGGTCATTCCCGTAGGGACTAACAACATCTGGAATATCATGTGCAATTCTGGTTTCCAATGTCTAAGAAAGATGAATTCAAACTGGAACAGATACAGAGAAGGGATATTAGGATGATCACAGGAATGTCTCAAGAGAGGAGAGTTAAGGAGCTTGGCTTGTTTAGCCCTGCACAATGAAGGCCGAGGGGAGATAAGATTGTTTTCTATAAATACATCAGAGAGGAACAAACACCAGGAAGGAGAAGAATTAAGGGCCAATGTTGGCTCAAGAACAAAAGTATATAAACTGGCTATCAACAAGTTTAAGCTTGAAATTAGATGGTTTCTAACCATCAGAGGAGTGAATTTCCGGAACAGCCTTCCAAGGGGAGCAGTTTTGGTGGGGAACCTAACATGTTTCATGACAGAGCTTGATGAGTTTATGGAGGATATGGTATGAGGAGGTTGCCAACAGTGCCCTATGGACCACCCACAACCACTATTAGGGAATATCTTCAGCAACTGGAAATGGGGCACTCGATGGGAAGGGCTCTGAGTTCCTACAGAGAATTCTTTCCAAGATGATCTTGCCCAAACACTCAGGGTCTAACTGATGGCCATATTTGAGGTCAGGAAGAAATTTCTGCCCAGGTCAGACTGGCAAGGGCAGACGGGGCTTTTCACCTTTGTCTGCAGTGACTCAGGTCACTTGCTTATTTGTACAAGAGTAAAAGCATTGCATTAGATAATGATGGTCAGGGCTGGCCTTACCATGAGGCGAACTGAGGCGGCTGCCTCAGGTGCCAGACTGGTGGTGGTGGTGGGGTGTGTGCCACTAGGACCCAGAGAATTGAGACCTTTCAAAGTTTTGGCCCAAGCGAGGGGACATGGGGGCATCATTTGAGCTCCCCACCTCAGGTGCCAAAATGTTGTGAGCTGGCCCTGATGATGGTGGTCCCCCAGATGTAAAGATTTTGAGGCTCTGAACAGTCTAAACATTTACTGTCTTCATGCACCTAAGGTTCAGAGAGCATGGCTGATGTAAGGTGCAGCCGTACTGAATGGTGGAAGCAGAAGAGTTATGTTTGGGAGATTTGTGAATTACTTTGAGATGTGTAACAGAGTTGTGACTTTAACATAAAATCTATATTTTGCACCCTCTCATGTATGAGAGGAAAGGGAAGAGGTGCAAGTGTACCTTCAATTTGCAATATGTATCATTTCTATGCTGAGCTATGTACATTATGTTGGTAGCTATTGTAGAGCTTTGATTATAAATTGGCTATGAGGTGGAATGATGAAGAATTAACAGACAAAAACTGTTGCAGACACACCAGTGTTGAAATCTCTTCCATTTCTGAAGGTAAGTACTTTGTGTAGACATTTTCTTGCTGTTTAATAATTTGCTGTACCCTTGCAGAACAGGAAGACTCTATTCTCAAATATTATTGAGTAGCTGATTTAGAGATAAAGAATTCCCAGGCTGGGATACAATGTCTGATCAGAGTTTTAAGAGACCAAGTGAAGAACATATGGAACACTCATTGGCAGACAACAAAGTGAATCAGGTAAGGGTATCAGATCGGTCTGAGCATGTTGGAACAACTAACATGATTTTGTCTTTGTCTTGCTTTATCTTGTTTGCCATTCTGAAGATCAAAGGTGTTGGATGAAATGCATGGAGAAGACCCTTCATCCACGAAATAAAGAAGACATCCTCCAGACAGGGAACATTTAACTCATCTCTTGAGCAGAATAGTTTGCACTCCCAGTGGGCAATGGTGGAAAAAAGGTCTACCTCTGAAAACCCCCAAATCAGAAACATATAATTAAGAATCTGAGAGTCTAAATTCCATTCATAATCTTGGAAGAATTGTCTGCTGAGCTCATTGGCCATGCTGTATGTCTGGAAGAGAAGTGGTTGAAATAATTATATAATTTTCTATACCCTTACAAAATTTCATAGCATTATTGCTTTTGCAAAAAGAGAAGTGGATCTCTCCTTTCCTGCCTCAACCTCAATGGCTGATGTTGAACATGCAGGACATGACTGTGACAGATTTGCCCCTGATTAATGG